AATAATCTGCTGTCACCAGTTAGAAACCTCCATCTATCACTAATGGAAGATAAATCACCTGTTACCTGAGGCAGTAAATAGGCAAGTAAGCAGGACCTAGCACACAGGTGTATAGGCGAAGCAACATTGAAATCTATGTCCGGATTAGCACAAGCAGAATCTATGCAGCTGTATCAGGAAAAGAACATAATGCTACTACCCTCTTGCAGAGTCGCAGTAGCACCTTTGAAGGTTAAGGAAAGGAAATGAATTTTACTTTGTTGTACCAGCAGTTTGTAGAGTTCAGATTGAATCGATGTGAATGCTGAGCTAAATACATTAAACAAAAACTGAGAAGGATATAAGAACGTAGCATCATATATAGATGTCGAATAAGCAAATGGCTCTGTGTCCGAAGCAAAAAGTGAAGGACATTGCAAAAAGAACTTTGTTAGGAGAGAAAAAAAAGGAGAAAGAAATGCATCTGTACCTTGAGGCCTAGCAGCAGAATCATTGGGAACCATGGAGAAGCAGCGGCACGAGCGGATACTAGGAAGGGCAACGGGCCGAGGCACGAGCGAGCGGCTGGTGAAGGAAGCGGCAACGATGCCCTCTCTGCCCAAGCACCCCTGGTAAGGACGGCCGTAGCAACGGATAAGATCCAAACCTGGTGACAGGAGCGGATGGAGAGGGCAGCAGAGGACGGAGGTGTCGATGACGGATTTGATGCGTGCACGATGTGGTTTCCACGCAGCGCTGTAGCTCTGACACGTGGGCCCAACGGGCGCACCCCGGCCTTCCATGCAGTGACTGATGCCGTAGCATCGCCGGTTGAGGGGGAGACGATCTGACAAAGCTTTTACCGGCACTCAGCAGTCACTGATGACAGGTGTGATGCAGACATTGAAAGTTTACACGCGGATGCCCTGGCCGTCGTCCAATTTATACCTCGTTTATACTTAAAAATAATTATTATTATATTATATCTTGTGAGCGTGCGCGCGCGTCTAAAAGATTTCAATATTACACATATAGCCTTTATAAGAAATACACCTAATTTTTTATGTGACATACCCTTTTGTAAAATTATAATTTGTATATCTATTACAATACTTAGATCTATAATTAAAAAAGATTGACTTCTTAAGAAATGAGAATCACTTATTTTAGGACTGATGGAGTATTTTCTTCTATATTTCTATATTTAAGTTTACGAGTAAGCTGTTTAGACTTAAAATAACCTAAAAAATAAAATCATTTAAATTTATGATTTAAAATTTTAGCAAAGACAACATTGAGTGATGTCCATCAGCAAATACCGCCATTAAAGAGTGTCCTATAGCAAATTATCGAACAAATAAAGTAATTTTTCCTAACTAAGCAACTATGATTCTACATCTCCTGAATACATAAATACTTATACGTATTAAATATGTGCCTAAAATATATACTATTTTTTATCTAACTATCAATAAATAAATAACCCTATAGAAAAAGAAAGAAAAACACATCCGTCCACCAATGTCGTGGGGCCGTGTGTGGTTGGGAGCTATCGCCCCTGGAATGCCGATTACTATGTTGGCAATGATAACACCCACGCCGACGGATGCCCGTACTATGTGAGGCCTCCTATCGGCAATCCAAACGCCAACAGGATAGTATTGGCTCCTGGAACGCTGATTAGACTCTTATCGGCTTTTAGTTCGCCGATTTACACCAATATGGAATTTTATTATTACAGCTTAAAGATCTACAATTAATTATTAAAATAATATTATTTCAAAAAATTCTTCTCTCAACTCCCAGTCAAAAAAATAATCTAATTGTGTGGAAATATACACACATACTCCACATATCAACCATGAATCTGACGGAAAAAAAATTCTTCTCTCAACTCCCTGTCAAAAAACAATCTAATTGTGTGGAAATATACACACATACTCCACATATCAACCATGAATCTGACGATGGAAGCACGTATGAAGAAGAAATAAGGACATGATCCCCAAATATATAAAATATATAAGAGAGAAAGATAATATAAAAATAGTTTAAGCGAGTAAGAAATTATCTTCTAGTTTTAAATTATAAGATGTTTTGGCTTTTCGAGACATATTATTTTTTAATACGCATTTAGACATAGTGTATATTTAAATGCATAGCAAATATTATGAATAAAAAAAGTCAAAACATCTTAATTTGGATAGAGGGGGTATTTTTATAAGCGAGTTTTGTACCCAATAAATATGCTACTAACTTTTTTTAGCCACTTAGAAAACTCATTGGTTTACTAATTATTATTTTTTGAGCTATTGAAGATGGTCTTAATAAGGGCATAATGTTCATAATTTTTGCACTATGTGCTTTTAGTGTTTGTTTGCTATAAAACTCTAACTCTAGACAAACCAAATTCGACTATAGCTTCTCTGATGAAATAGTTTTTCTTCTAGCTCCAGACTTATTGTTTAGAAAAAAATATTTAGAAAAATGGCTTCTCCTTGTTAGTAAAAAAAAGTGAATGTCCATAATCTTCTTCTTCTTCTTCTTCTTCTTCTTCTTCTTCTTTACCTTATCCTCTCCCACACCATCACCACATGCCTCCTCTTCTCTTTATTCTTCCTCATCATGCGCCTCCGCCGCATGTGCCATCCGTCTCCTCATGCTGCATCGTCATCTCCCGACCTATGTTGTGCCGCCGTTCCTCCAACCCATGCCTTCGTCAGTCTCGCCCCTCCCCATGCCATCTCCTCGTGTACCGCCATTGTTGGTCCGCCCCTTCCCGTCCCTCATTGGCATGTGCCGCCATTGCCCTGCACCACGTCAGCCCACCCGCGTCAGGGGCAAACCGGATGTCGGCCGTATGGTGGGCCCATAGGATTGAGAGGGAGTCGAGCAAAGCTACTATTCTTAGCTTCTCCTCTATCTCCTCACTTCTCTCAAAGTGATTCTCGAAACTTCTTAAACAATGGGGAGCGAGGGGGGGTTTGGTTGCCACTCATGCGTACCTGGTCGTAGAGCGCTACCAAATGCGCCCTTATTATGATGTATCTAGTTTTGAACCTCTTAGTTGTGAAAGTGCTGCCTTCGTCATGCCTTATGAAGATTGAAATCACTGGAGATTACAATGGTCGAACCTGATTCTCTTGTGTTTGCATAAATCAGAAAGCTTCATTAAACATAGTTTGTTCCACTTTTTTTTTCTTGAACACACGAGAACTGCGTATTGTTTTCATTAAAGAAGAAAAGAGAAAAAATGGTCTCTTCAATTCATAACGAAGTTTCAACCATGTTACATTAGTGCAATGTGGATTAAAAATACTCACCATGTAAGATCCACATAGCTTTACCTTTTCTTTCCAGTTACCTTATGAACCCAGGTAAGATGTGTCTCAGAATTAGTCTCCTACAGCCTTTGAATTGTGTCATTTCCCATTCTGAGCTTACATTATGATGAACAGAATGGCACTGATACATTGCCATTGCTGGTAATCGGTGCATGAGGAGCCATTCAAAAATAATTCAGAAAGTGCATATAGTTTGAGAAAGTGAAATTGGTATTCTGGCGAGTTGAAATATTTATTATCTTGCTTGTTCTGGTTGGTCTCTTAAAATAATGCCCTGCACTCTAACTTGTGACTTGTAAGATATCTGGGCAACTGGCAGATGATCTATACTATGTTCAATTTTTTTCTTAGCTGCTTAGGATCCATTGTAGCAGCTGTTTTCTGGCTCTAATCTTACAGATTGAAGGTATGAGCTCATAAGTCATAACTGAGGCTTTCACTTAGAAGGTATGAGCACCTATTTTGTACAATTAAGTATAGTTACATCTTATGTGGTCTGTTTACTCTGAAGCACATGAACTTCTCACCCGACGAAGAGAAAGATACCAGGTGTCCAGGTTATACCCGATATTTATTAAATAAATAAATAAAAATATAGTTAAGGTGCAGCATGATTTTGTAGTGAAAGGAATCAGTATACTCTTTCCTTGAACCACAATTCGTCTGGTGTAAGCAGTTACCAAAGTTTAATATATTCCATGTGAAGGCTTCATTACTACTTTATTTACTGCCTGTACTGCTGTAATAATGTTACACGATTGATGCATTATTTCACTTGTTCAGGCAAGTAACATGAGGGATATTCCATGTTCTACCCGCAACTGCTCTTGGGTCTGTTTTGTGTAGTTAGCTTCTGACACAAGTTTTAAGAGCCAATCCTTTGGGATCTTGTGCAATGCTGCTGTTAAAAATGAGGTATGGCAAAATTGGGCTTAAAAATGTTCAGCTGGTTATTACAGTCCATTCTGTATTTTTCTTTCTTCAGGTATTAGAAGAAATTGTTCCTTCGTCTTTTTACTTGAATTACTATTTCTGCCACTAAAAGAGTACTTCAGGAAGGCACATCTGTAGCACTATATTTTTTTTTTCACTGCTCTGTCTTATTCCTCTGGAGTTTATGATTGGCGAACTGTTAAGTATGACACGAAATATAAGGCCGTTTTTTAGTTTTCACATGCACTCGAGCATCACGTGCCTGGCACTGTACTGCACATTTTTATGTTAGTTCGAGTTGTTCGGCTGATGGTTTTTGCGGCTGATAAGCCGATCGGTACTGTTTTGTTGTGAGAGAAAAACATTGTACCATAGTTGATAAGCCGGGCTGATAAAGCACAAAGAGCTATACATTTTTGTGGAGCCCAGAACATATCTTTAAAACATGTACCTATGGGTCCGCCCCGACTGAACTGTGTATTAAATCTTTGTTGCAATGTCAAGAATCTTAATAAACTATAAGAATCTTAACAGAAATATCACTCGAAAAAAGGTTCTCCATAAGTCAAAACTCAAGAGTGAGAGTCAACAATAATACTCTTGACCATATTTTTCTTTTTTTTCTGATACTACCTCATTTACATACGCAAAATTTGGTTGAGACCATCGTTGGTTTGTGACTTTCTATTACCCCTATGTTTTCTCTGAGTATTGGTGTTGGTCTCTGTCACATTTCTTCATAAATTAATCTCCATTCTCGTTTGCATCCTTGCTCTGACCAGATTGTTTCCTCTTCTCCTTGAGGAACTCAAGGAGATCCTGAAGTACAACATCACTGTTGTCGTTCCTCATCAGAACCTCAGCAACCTCCGCAGGTGAGACCATTACCTCCTGTATAAGCTGCTCAATTTCTGGGTACATGGCATGATTTTGAACTGAGTGGTAGTTCTTTGCCAGTATCCGGAACGACTCTGGGGTGCAGTACCCCATGTGGATGTGCATGTCCATCCTTCCAGGCCGCAGTAGCGCTGGGTCAAGCCGCTCCCTGTAGTTGGTGGTGAAGACGATGATCCTCTCCTCCCCGCTTGTCGACCAGAGACCATCAACGAAGTTGAGCAGCCCAGATAGCGTCACCTGCAGTTCACCAAAATTGCCAGCAGCGTTGGTAAGAAACTAAAGCTGCCCAATCGACAAATGCATGGTAATTACTACCTCTGTTCACAAATATTTAACATATGTGACACTGCACGGATTTTGATGATTATCTTTGACCACCAATTTCTTCTAGAATAATCCCTCTGTCCAGGAAGGACAATTCTAGTTTTGATCTGAGTCAAACTATCTTAATTTTGACTAATAAGTTTATAGAAAACTGTATCTATATCTATGATTTCAAATACGTATATTATGAAAGATATATTCATGACAAATCCGATGATATATATTTAGTATGATAAATAGTACTACTTCCATCCTAAAATAAATCAACTTCTAGAGTTGTCCTAAGTCAAACTATTTTGAGCTTGAACATTTAAAACAAACACCAATATTTATGACACTAAATTGGTATCACTAGATACTTTATGACATGTATTTTCATGATGTATTTATTTGGTGTCATAGACGATGTTATTACTATTTCCTATAAAATTTGTCAAACTTAAGATAGTTTGATTTTAGATGATTCTAGGGATTTATTTTGGGATAGAAGCAGTAACATCTTTTAATATAAATTTAGTCAAACTTAAGAGGTTTGACTTGAATATTATTTTAGAATTGTATTCTTTTTGGGATGGAGGTAGTATGATCTTAAAATCCTTAAAATACTACGCGCTTCAAAACTAAACAATGCAATAGTATATATAGTAGTTATTAATGTTTGTAGTTTATAAGGTTTGGTCAAATCTTATCCTAAACGACAAGTTTTTGTGACCAGAGCTAGTACTGTAAATAGTTTGTGGCAATATATGATTCTAGATGAAGTGCTGTAAATGGTTTGTGGCTATATATATGATTCTAACTGGTGGATGGAAATGGAATAGCAACATCATGCTAACCTTGTCGTCGTTTTCTTCTCCTGCAGACGCAGTGGGCCTGGTGGCACGCCTCTCGCCTTCATCCCGCTGCTGCAGCTCAATGCTGCAGTCAATGTCTTCAACCACGAGAATGGAGCGGTTGCTGGTCCCGACGAGCAGCCTCCGGAGGTCGGAGTTGGACTTGACCTCAGTGAGCTCAAGGTCGTAGATGTCAAACTTAAGGAAGTTGGCCATGGCGGCGACGAGGCTGGACTTGCCGGTCCCTGGCGGGCCGTAGAGCAGGTAGCCCCGTTTCCAGGCCCTGCCGATCCTCCTGTAGTAGTCCTTCCTCCTGACGAACCTCTGGAGGTCCTCTATGACGGAGGACTTGAGCTTGTCGTCCATGGCGAGCGTGTCAAAGGTGGAAGGGTGGCGGAGGTCGACAGCGGTCCAGGCGTCGTACTCCACCATGTGCATCTTGAGGCTCCGCTGCCGGTCCTTGATGGCCTTGGCCGTGGCGACGACGTGCGGGAGGTAGGACCCCAGGGCCTTGTCCTTGTGCCTCCTGTGGAAGCTGACCTCGAACGACTTGGCCTCCGGGCGGCCGGCCTTGTCGCGGCCGGCGGCGGCGGCGCCTGCTGCCCTGGATGCTGCGGCGTCGCGGGAGACGACCAGGGTCCAGGTGTAGTCGACGCCGTCGTGGGCGTCGACCATCTCCTCCCCCTGCTCCATCCCCACGGTGATGCCCTGCGCGTCGTCGACGCGGCTGGCGCGGAGGCGCGGCACGTCGGGGGTGACCCGGGCGGCCAGGTACGTGCGCGCGGCGTCGTAGAGCTGGTTGGCCGACAGGCCCTCGGCCTCGTCGATGACCACGGTGTGCCGCGACGAGACGCGGGCGCGGACGCCCCGCGCCGCCGCGCGCAGCAGGTCCCCCACCTCGTAGGGCAGCAGCTCGCTCACCACGGTCCGCAGCAGCATGACCGCCGCCGTCGCCGACGCGGCCATCGTGATGTACCTCTCGTAGCTCCCGCTCCCGCTCCCGCTCCCGTCCGACGACATTGCTGGCTGTTTGCTGGGTGGAGGCGGCCGTGTGTGGTTTGTTGGTTAGATTGATACACACAACACGACACGACACGACACGAGGTGGCCGCCGGTGAAGCTTGCCTAGCTAGGGCAGCGATGGGTTTGACTGTTCAGACCTTTTCTTCAGGTACAAGAAGACGAATAGTAGTAGTATGGGTTATGGACATTGTATTGTATGTGTGTTTGTGTGTGGAAAGAAAGAAAGAAAGGAAGGGAGATGCATGTGGACAAGCCGCCTAGTTTGCGGCAGCATAGCAGTCACGTCACGGGTGGGTTTTGGGAGGGGTTAACAATTGCGAACCAGTTTTGGAACGGAACGGGATACACGTGTCGGGTTAAGGACAAACGAACGGCACTCAGAGGGTTCAGGAACGGCCGTGCATCCATCCTCCCATCCATGTGTAGATGTGGGATTTTTTTTAATTTTAACACTTTTTGTAAACTAATTTTAAATCTAACACTATTTTTTTCAAAACTAACACTTTTGGCCGCGCCTATTACCTGCCGCGCCATGCATGGTGGCGCGTCGGGTGGCTAACGTGGCGACGACCGCAAAGGCTGATCCGTGGCGCGGCAGAGCCGAATAAAAGCCCCGCGGCCAGTCCCGCCTGCCCGAGCAGCAAGGCCGTCTGGCCGCCGCGCCCGCTCCAGCCCACTGCCGAGCACGTCAGCCGCCGCGCCCGCACGCCGGCCCCACCACCCCCTCCGGCCACGCACGGCGGCTGCCTGCCGCGCCCGCTGAGGCCAGCGCCCGCGCCTCCCGACCCGGTCTAGCGCGTCACCGCCGCGAGGTACTCACCTAGTGTATTTGTTGATTGAATCGACATTATTAATACAGTAAGTTAGTAAAATAAATAAAGTTAGTATAATTAGTAAAGTATAGTTAGTAAAGTTAGTTAGTTTAGTTAGTATAGGTAATATAGTAAGTTAGTATAGATAGTAAAGTTAGGTAGTTTAGTTAGTACAGTTAGCGAGTCTAGTTATACATTGGATTTAGTCTAATTAGTTGTTGTAGTTAGCCTTGTATAGATGTTAATATTAGATTAGTTAGTATAGTTATAGTTAGAATATTTATTAATATTACTATGGACATTACGTACGACGATTTCGACGACTTGATGAAGTTTCTTGAAATGCTTTTGCAAATGGATTATTGTGTTAGAGTTTTATACGGAGTAAGTGTTAGGAGAGAAGATGGTATGTTTGAGGATATGGAAGAAGAATTGGAATGGTTTGATGAACCTCCTAGCTTCAACGACCTTTGTGTCCGTTTGAATGCAAAGTTTGGCAGTGATTTCACACTGAAGGGGAGGTTTGATACTGGGAAGACTAGGGCACACTATATCCTCATGCCCTTGCGCGATCCTGCTCACTAGTCCCGCTACACTAGGGTGCTCCAAGATTCTAATGTGCCCATGGCTGAGGTGGTGGTGGAGAATGGGTACAGGATGCAGGGTGTTCAGGATGGCCCGTCCATTGATGGTGTTGGAGGCAATGAACAAGAATTAGAGGTCGAAGGGGAAGCAACTCAGGATAACATGGATTTGGATGATCAATTAACGCAGGAGCAGTTTCATTCAACTGTAGTAGGTTGTATAAGCAATGACTTCGATGTGAATGAGTTCGAACGGGAAGAGGGGGAGCAAAGAGGAGGACAGGATCGGTGATGTAGTTAGCAGTGATTTAGACGATTCTGATGATGACCAAGGAGGTACAGATGCTATGCCAACACCGGTTGATGCCATAACAGTACCGGTTCATACTATGCCATTACCAGTACCAACTGAGGTTTTGCATGGTATCTAGGCTCAGGGTAGACTAGTCACAGATTTGGCAGCAGATGATACCCCCTATTATTCATGGGCCAGAATTAGCGAAGCAGCAGTATGTTCTACCACCACCTTACACAGCGACTGAGCTTGAGCAACTAAGGTCGATGAACGTACCTTTCAGGGGCGTTCCGAACTATAGGGATGTCAGCATGACGGATATGGCAGTTTGTGACACCGGTCTCCACATATGTAGGAAATCATTGTATGACCATGAGAAAGAACCCCTTAGGAAGGTGATGATATTCAATACAATGTCAGAGATGAAGCTCTTCCTTCAGGACTATGCTGTGTACCACCATAGGCCGTACACCGTCACTCATTCGGACCAGGAGTTGAGGTACCACGTGATATGCAAAAACGGTTGTATGTGGAGGTTAAATGCACGAAAGAGACAAAGTGATGGCAAATGGAGGATAAGTAAAGTTATCGAACCCCACACTTGCTTATCAAATAGGGGGAAGGAAAATCATCAGCAGCTCACTGCACGTTACCTTGCCCGTCGTATATTGGAGCTCGTTGATGACAATAACGACATTTCGGTGTCTTCTTTACAATAGTCCATATCTAGATTCGTTAAGTACGATGTGAAGTATGGAAATGCTTGGCGTGCTAAGCAAATTGCCATGACGATTCGATGGGGTAGTTGGGAGGAAGCGTACAACAGGGTGCCCCACATCTTATGTGCAATGCATTACTAAAACCCTGGCTTGAAATGGTTTGTGGACACTGGAGGGATATGTTTTCGGGACCCATTGAGGCATGTCCTCTATCTTGTGTTCTGGTCGTTCGCGCAAACAGAACATGCATTCTAGTTTTGTCGGCCAGTCGTACTTGTTGATGGCACTTTCCTAACAGGAAAGTACAGGGGCACCTTGATGATGGCTGGTGCTGTTGATCCTAAGGACCAGATAGTACTCATGGCTTTTGCTTTGGCAGAGGGAGAGAGCAATGAATCGTGGTCATGGTTCATGCGGCTTCTACATGTACAAGTGCTTGACCCATCTCGCACTATATGTTTGATCTCGGACCGTCACCCAGGGCTTCTTAATGCTGCAGCTGAGCATATAGATGGGTTCCCGCCTCTAGTGCATAGATGGTGCATGAGACACTTTGCCGCTAATTTCTGGCAGCATCAGCGGAAGCAGGAGATATGTGACAAGGTAAAGGCTCTATGTTGTGTACGTACAGAGCACCAGTTTAAGGAGACAAAGAGAGAACTAGACAAGATGGTAAATGAAGCGGGAAAGGCATGGTTAGAGGCGCAGATGGAACAGAAGGCTCAGTGGGCGTTAGCATATGATAAGGGGGGTTTTAGGTATGGCATCATGACCACTAACTCCTCAGAGTCCTTCAACCGTGTATTCACCGAAGTTCGATCGTTGCCTGTGTCTGGAATTGATGAGTTCTCCTTTCATAAGTGCAACGAATATTTTGTGAAGAGGTGGGAACTTACGTAGAGGAATATAGCTGAGCAGGGGCGTTTTGGAAAGGCCGGAGCTGAACATTTGAAGGAGACCGAGGAATTGGCCAAGCAGCACACCGCCAAGCCGTATGGACCCTGCTGCCATATCTTTAGTGTACGGGGCAAGGGTGGCACAAGGTTGCGCGGCGAACGTTATGGTGGACGAAACTACCGAGTTGATCTTAAAAAGGTAGAGTGTAGTTGCAACGTCCCTCAGATCATGCATGCCCCTTGCTCTCATATGATCATGGCCTGCAGGGTTTGCGGGTACAACTATGAGGATCTACCATATATGTCACCCTTGTATCTCCGTTCGAACACCGTTAGTATTTGGGAGATGAGCTTCGAGCTATACCTTGACCCGACATAGTGGCCACCTTATAATGGTTATGACTACGTGTCGCATCCGGATCTAATGAAGGTAGGGAAAGGTAGGAGGAAGAAGAAGCGACTCAAGGGGGGCATGGACGCTATGAGAGAGTACGGCGAAGACATGTACGGTAGGGGAGACTTCAACGAGACCCGTGGCAGGAATCTTTTCTCCATTTGCAATGAATCTGGTCACAAGGCTAGCAGGCATAGAAGACAAGGGCAGCAGGTGCTTTCATATTATGTTCGTATTGCATAACAAGTAGTTCAAATTTTGCAATGCTACATAATGTTAATTTGAATATTGTTAATTTGAATACTCTAACCCTTTGTTTATCAATTTGTAACAGGATGGCACCTCTCATGTCGCACCAGATGTACCCCCTTCTTGAGGTGGAGTATGACGACCTCCTTCTTCCACCGGACGATGAGGTTTCCAAGAGGCGTTCGAGGGATCCTTACATTCCTGGGACTTAGTTCGTTATGTCGAACTTATTTCGAACGAATATTGTCGTCCGAAACTTGCAGACTCATGAACCTGAAAATGTTATGTGGCAACTTGTCGTCCATTTATTTGCTTCATATTCGTTTCAACTTGCGCACGGTCGCGGCACCACTTATAGTTGTTTACAGCACCGACAGCAACTCAATTGAGGCTGGTCGATTTCTATCCGCGTCACTGCCGCGCCGTGGGATATGGCGCGACAGAACTTGGGCTATGGCGCGGCAGAACCAGTGGGCTATGTCGCTGTATTCGAGATAATTTCACTCGATTATGTTCGTTTTAGAAATTCTCAATGCATGATACAAACAGATGGGATCACTTAAGATCGACCATGGGTAATCGAGTACATGATACATGGGTACAATACATCAATAGTTCAAATGGAATATAAGACAACATAATAGAATTTCTAGTACATAGTTACATTGATCATTAATAAAGCATGGAACTAACAGACGGCGCAATCAAAAACCCTCAGTCAGAAACATACTGAGTAAGCAACTCGTCGTCCGAGTACCAATCCTCAACCACAACCCTGTTGCCGTGGCTAGGCTCACCTGCATTGCCCTGATCTGCCTTTCGCCTGTAGTAAGCGGCCTCCGCTTCATCTGCGGCATGAGACAAGAATGTGTTCTCTTTCTCCTCGTTCATGTGGCTAGGCTCACCTGCATTGCTCTGACCTCCGTGTCGCCTGTCGTAAGCGGCCTCTGCTTCATCTGTGGCCTAAGTGAAGAACGCGTCGTCATTCTCCTCCGCCTGCAAGCCCGCCTCTACTAGAGCGATGAGCTTGCTGAGTCTGCCAGTGTCGTCCTCAGCCTCCTCCGCCTGCAAGCCCGCCTCTACTAGAGTGATGAGCTCGCTGAGTCTGACAGCGTCGTCCTCATCCTCGTCCTCCTCAGTAGACAACATAATCGGTGATTCAACGGTGCGACCAGCTCGATTTTCTGTGCTCATCTAACTTATTTTTCTTGTACCTTGCATGAGCCACCTCTGCAGCATGTTCCTCGCTGCATCCAATCCATTCATGTATAAAATGTAATCAGTTAGCAACGCGATTATATTACATTTAAAATCAGGCAACTAAAAAAGGCTTTCAAGCACTCACTGACACATAATGCAACAACATACTCGTTCAAGACCTGCATCTGTACTCTTGTCTCCTCCCTTGCCTCCTTCCTTGCCCTCACCTCCTCTAACGTCATCCGTCTCTCCAATCTCCATTTGTCAAGCCCAATATCGATCGGGTTACAAATACCACGCTGTCTAGCAAACTCACGCATCTTGTCTTTGTGATGTTTAACGAAAAGGTTGACGTAGCCAGGTTCATATCCCCTCTTCCGTGCAATTACTTGCTTCCCATTCGGTTCATCTAAGAACTTAGCTTGACCATCATAACATTCCCACCTGTATTTTCTAGTGCTTTGTTCAAACAAAAAATTATATCATATATGTCTTAGCAAAAGAAACAAAATACGATTTCATGGTTACCACAAAAATAACCAACCTCATCATATTTAATCATGTGGCCGCAATAATAGCCTATTCCAAGCTCCGAAGGGACTAGACCGTAGTTGAATTTAACACCATATTCGCACTTGACTAGAGATGCTTTGTAAATTAACCTTTCTTTCTTCTTTTGCTTTACCTTTGGAGGTTTTTTCTAGCCATTGGTTCTTAGGACCATACAACCACTCCTTTAAATGATACTTCGCCATTGAATACACCTAAATAAGGTGACATTAGTACATGAACACATATAGCTTAACATTTTAACACATACACTTTGCACTTACTTCATGCTTGTTTGGACACACAAACTCCAACGTATTCTCAGGGTTTATCACAGTTCCATCTCCGCAATCGCACAGAGGAGGTTCCTCGAGTCGTCTAACTGTGGCTAAGTGCTTCTCCTTAGCCATCATTGGAGGCGGGTTAGGGGGAGGTGGAACCCACCGCTCGAAGTGCTCTCGTGGATGTCGCCCTGTCCACCAATCGTCAAAAAAGAGGTACCTGGGGTCAAACTTGTCTGCACCGTCGATCCACTGAAAGAAAGCGCACCTCTCATAGGCCTACACAACAAAATTCTAACAAAATATTAGTAACCTAGTAATACAAATGAAGAAAAAACATACGAAAATAATTACTTACATTAAAACGACTGCATGTGTAGAAGCAACGAGCCGCTGTGTCCGGATGTCTCGATTGAAACACGTCGGCCGGACGACCACAGTCACAGTTAGGGACAGGGAGTTCAGGAGGGACAGGGGCATCTTTGCTAGACTCGTCGGGGTACAATTCTCTAGGACGACCCCGTTTTCGCCACAACTGCTCCCGAAACATGTCTTACATCTAATAAAACGGTTCAAATTAAACATCAATCAAAACAACGCAAATTAATGTAAAATATAATCATTTGCATTGCAACTAAAATAATATAACCAACACTTATAACAACAAAAATATACATGGTAAACATACTTCTAACTAAATAATTAACCTTAACATTGACAAAATCAAACTAATATCTTCCTCCAAACCGTAGCTCATAGTTCCCAAACATAATTTTCCTCCTAACCTTAACTCCCATTCATAACATTCCTATCCACGATTCAAACGAAAATAAAAAATGCGTCATTACCTTAAGCGAGGACGAGGAGGGAGGGAGGCGGCCGGGGAATGGAAGGGAAGGGAGGGAGGGAGGCGGCAACAGAGGACTGGGCGGGCGACGGCCAGGCGCGGGCAGGCGGCCTTGCTGCTCGGGCAGGCGGGACTAGCCGCGGGGCTTTTATTCGGCTCTGTCGTGCCACGGATCAGGGCGCGGCACTACCGTGCCAAGATCAGTGGCGCGGCAGGCCCTGCCACGTCACCGGTCAGCCTTTGCGGTCATCGCCACGTCAGCTATCCGCCGCGCTACCATGCATGGCAATAGGCGCGTCCAGAAGTGTTAGTTTTAGAAAAAAAATAAATAGTATTAGATTTAAAATTAGTTTAAAAAAGTGTTAAAATTAAAAAAAAAAATCCAGATGTGCATGCATGTCCATCTCCGCTCGCTGACCAGAGATACCATTAGGGTCTACATTCACCAATAAACATGGCTGATTTGTTCTAGACGTGGATATACAACGTGTAGATCCAAAGCTGCGGTGTTAAATTTTGAAGCACTGCCTTCGTCCCGAAAGAATTAATTCTAGATGTATTCTCGTTGACGTAAACTAAATATGTAGATAAAGTATTATTGTTTACGATGTTAAATAGGTACTTTACAAAAAATACAACATGTTCAATGTATAGATCTACTCATGTGGAGTCCAACGAAATTGGATTTTCTATTTCATAATTTTTCTATGATTTACTATGATTTTTCAAAAATTCAACCGAAATAAAAAAAAAAACCACATTTGAAAATCATTTATAACTTGTCAGGATGGTAAAAAGAATGGTTTTAAAAGTTTGGGGAGGTGGTTTATCCGGTTTTAAAGTTTGAGGAAAAATAGACTTTCGCAAAAGTCGAAGGATGATAGACCAGAACTGCTATAAGCAGTCTGGGCCTTCGACTGTGTTCCCGTAGCCGGGCCTACGGATTTGCTACCAGGCTCAGGCCCACAGCCCGCAACGGAGTAAGCAGGCGTCGGCGTCACCGCTAACCGGCAGCGGTGCCAAACTCCTCTTCTCCCCTCGGCGAACCCCCGCGAGGCGCCACGTCAGCGACACCAGGACCAGCTGACCAACCAAGGATGCGCGCAGGTGCTGTCGGAGCAGGAGCAGAAGCGGGCTGCGGGCGGGGTACAGCTCCGTCGTCCTCGTCCCGCCGCGACGTGTACGCCATGCCCGAGAGCTGTGCCACGATTTCTAGGTAAAAACACCTTCTCTTCTTAGATAGATGCATTCCGATCGTTAGATGAGGGGGTCAAATTTGGGGAATCAAGAACGCACCACTGCTGCTATAAGTGGCTGACTGTTTGGTTTTGGTTCCGAGCAATCCAGCTTTCTAATTGCAATTGTATATAAGTGGCCGGCTGTGGCCCGCTAGTCAAATTAAGTTGCCTTTGACGGCGCAATGGCGTGTTTGCTTCTGTTTATGTTCCTGTCCTTGTGTCCTGACAATAATGAGACGAGCTGTGGCTAATCTTGCTTATTTTCCAACATTTTTTTTCCTTACCTAGGCTTAGGTATCTGAACCAACCCACCAGGTGGTTGAGCTCCGGCCGTCTTGTTCTTAATCGTTACTATTCCATCTGCTTTTGTAAGAATTGTATATTTGTATGTTTTCTGTTATGCAATGGGAAATGGAAGACACCTCGTTTCGGTTATGGGGAAAAAGGTATATATAATTCCATATTGATGTTGCAGATTCCTATACTCAATGTTGAGACAGCACATACAAATCAATTTCCGTGGATACACAATGTTAAGTATCGGGACAATGCTTTAGTCATCAAACAATCACACATTTGCCAGTGGAATTCTGTATGCACACTGTTTGGCCAGCGTTAAACTGCTAATAGCTTTCCACTTCTTGCCTTCCTTTCCTTTCTTTCTCCTTTTGAAGGGAATTTGCCTGGGATTTTATTGTCTCTATTATCTTATCATCCTTGTGGCCATTTGTGGTTAAATTAGCATATTTTGTTTTCACTTCTGGAGATCTACAAAATCATGGAGCACAACACTTCTAGAATAACGATTAGTACTGCTTTACACTTTCCAAGGTGTGCATTTGCAAGGCAATGGCATGTTTGCAGTTTCATGTAAATTTTCATATGGATTTTGCATATCTGTAACTCTGCATACATGCTACTAAACATGTACTAACAGAACTCTGCAGATGCACTGCAAGTACCAGTACACCTCATTGATCCAAAAACACAATGTTGACAATACGCAAACACTCACATACGCCAATGGATCCCCTGTAGGATCTATCAATATGAAAGACGATATGCATTGCTCTCATCTTCTTTCCTCTTCTTGAAGGAATTGCATTGGGTTTTATTTATTTTTCACTATCTTATTGCCTTTCTCCTCATCCAGCTGGTTATTTGCTTCCTAGTGTTCAGTCTTGATCTCAAACCGCTATTTTCTTTCATCTTCTTTTCTGGAAGGAATTACACTGGGTTTTAATTTTTGTCATTATCCTTGTCATCTTTCTTCTCATCCAGCTGGCTATTTGCTTCCTTATGTTCAGTCTTGATCTCATTGGCATCCTTCATTTTTGACTTCAGGAATTCGACAAGATCATGGAGCACAACATCAGTGTCATCATTCCTCATCAGAACCTCAGCAACCTCTGCGGGTGTTACCGTCACCTCCTTGATCAGTTTCTCGATCTCTGGATACGTGTCATGGTACTCGATGGAGTGGTAGTTGTTGGCAAGGATTTGGAAAGACTCTGGGGTGCAATACCCCATGTAGATGTGCATGTCCATCCTTCCAGGCCGCAGCAGTGCTGGGTCGAGCCGCTCCTTGTAATTGGTTGTGAAGACGATGATCCTTTCCTCACCACTTGTTGACCACAGCCCATCAACAAAGTTGAGCAGTCCAGACAGCGTTACCTGTTCAGAAAGTCCAAATTATTGTCAGGAATATAGTGAGGAAGTGGTGGAATCGAGAAGAGACAGGGAAGTTAGTACTCACCTTGCCTTCCCCCTTGTTTTGTTCTGTAGAATTTGACTCCTCATGTCCCTCACCCTCCTCCCGTTGTTTCAGTTCGATGGTGCAGTCAATATCTTCAATCACTAGAATGGATCGGTTGTCCATGCCAACAAGAAGCCTCCTGAGGTCTGAGTTGGACATGACCGCAGTTAGCTCGAGATCATATATGTCAAACCTGAGATGGTTGGCCATGGCTGCGATTAGGCTTGACTTCCCAGTCCCAGGTGGACCATACAGCAGGTACCCCCTCTTCCATGCCTTGCCAATCTTCTTATAGTAATCTTTCCTCTTCATGAACCTGTTAAGGTCATCGATGATGGACTGCTTCAGCTTGTGGTCCATGGCAAGCGTGTCGAATGTAGATGGGTGGTGGAGGTCAATCGGGGACCAATTCCCGTACTCAGTCATGTGTATCATTAGAGTTCTCTCCTGGGCTTTAATGGCCTTGGCTGTGGCCAAAATGAATGGGAGGTACGATCTGAGGGCTTTGTCCTTGTGCTTCTTGTTGAAGGTCAACTCGAAGAACTGGGACTCGTTCTGACTGCCGTTGAGGGAGTCATTTGAGTTGTTGTCTTTGCAGACAAGGCACCACTTGAACTCCGTGCCTTCATAAACATCCAGCATCTCGTCGCCGTCATCCATGCTGACCATCATCTTGTCGTTCTCGTCCATGCTGCTGACGCGCAAGCGCTGCTGGATGTCGGTGTTCATGCGCGTGGCGAGGTAAGTCTTGACGGCGCAGAAGACGTGGTTGTTGCCGAACCCGTCGTTCTTCTTCTCGACGATGATGGTGTGGTCCGACGTCGTGCGCGAGCGTAGGTAGCCGAAGCCGGAGAAGAGCAGCTCGCGCAGCTCGGGCGGCACCACCTCGTTCACCACGCTGCGCACCAGCATCATGGACGCGGCGACGGACGCCGCGGTGGTGAGGGCCTTCTTGTAGGACTCGAAGGCCTTGTCGTAGGACGCCATGGTGGTGAGCTGAGTTCTTGCCCCCTACTCTTTTTGCCTATTCTTGCTCTTGGATCTTGGCGTGGAACAGTGAGAGTGGTGTGAGCGGGTGAGGCTGAATTGCTTTCTTGCTAAGGAAGGAGAGTAGGAGCAGAATATGGGTGCGGGATGGGGATGGCTGGCTTCTATAGGCGTGCCTCGTGAGTGAGGCCATGTTTAGTTCCTCTATTTTTAGAATTTGATATTATATAAAAAGAAAATTCTCCGTCACATTAAATTTGCGGTATATGTATGGAGTATTAAATGTTGACGAAATCAAAAACTAATTACACAGTTTGGTTGTACTCTGCGAGACGAACGTTTTGAGCCTAACTAGTTAACGATTGGATAATTATTATCAAATAAAAACAAAATAGTACTGTAGCTACAGTACACCTCTTTTTTGGGCGGCGCCGAATCGGCTGATGAACTAAACGCGGCCTGAGTTGGGAGGGGTCAAGTGATGGATGACAAGTCTAAAAGGAATAAATTATATCACTACGCTCCTCCAAAGAATAGATTATATTAGTACGCTCTTCCAACTCCCTTGAGTGCGGTCTTGGTCAGAGAAGGGAAAATGGGCGTCACATGCATTACCACATATACCCGGACCTGTGTCCAACTGAGAATAATAAATCTCTCTTTTGATTAGTTAGGGTAAATAATGGAGGCTTTTAACATGCCTTTTTGTTGATGAAGCGTGAATAAGTACCTTCCTTTTTGTCAGCTGCTCTGGTTCCTTCCAGCCGTTGATTGTAAGGCCCCCAACTTTGAATAATATCCGGGCCTTATTTAGATTGTAAGTTTTTTCACTCTCTCTTCATTACATCAAATCTTTGGACACATGCATGGAGTATTAAATGTAGATAAAAAAATAACTAATTACACAGTTTGATTGTAAATTACGAGACGAATCTTTTGAGCCTAGTTAGGCCATGATTAGACAATAATTGTCAAATACAAACGAAGTGCTACAGTGCCAAATACTGATTCTTAACCCCAATCTAAACAGTCCTTGTTTAGATTGCCTCAAAATTTCAAGTATTTTCATTCTCTTTCCATCACATCAATTTTTGAACATATGCGTGGAGCATTAAATGTAGGTAAAAAAATAACTAATTACACAGTTTGGTTGTAAATCACGAGACGAATCTTTTGAGTCTAGTTAGTCCATGATCGGACAAAGTTTATCAAATAAGATTGCAAAAATTTACAATCTAAACAATGCATTGATTGGATCTTATTTGGAGTTCACACACTGAAGACTGCACTGCACTTAGACTAGTGCATGGATAACGTCATCAGGGTTCAGTAGGAATGAAATGACAAGACAAGTGGTGGGCTCAAAAGATTCGTCTCGTAATTTACAATCAAATTATGTAATTAGTTATTTTTTTTATCTATATTTAATACTCCATACATGTGTCCAAAGATTTGATGTAATGGAGAGAGAGTGAAAAAACTTGCAATCTAAACTAAGGCCTACATAGAGAAGAAGAAGAAAAGCGGGAGTGCCAGAGCAGCTGTACTAGATTCTTGTGTTTGTGTTGCATTTCCTTGGCATCCAAGCTTCCTTCTGAACGGTAGGCTGCTGCTTTTTCCGCAGAGTGCTGTGGGCCGCAGGTTTCCTCGCTCAACTGGAATGGAAAGTGGGAGTGCCAGGAAGCTTCTCCCGGCGATCAGATCAGGTCAGATCCAGGTCCCCGCTTGTTGATTCCAGGGGGCACCTGCTCAACTGGGGCGTGTGCTGGGATGGTAATCGGCTAATCGCACGCGTTCCGTGCCGGCGAAGGAGCCTGATCCTGACGCGGTTGGTCGACAGCTCGACGTCAACGCGATGGCGCCATCAGATGAGATCACAGTGTGGGGTGCTACAGGCTGGAAAGCGAGCGGCCAGACAAAAATCTAGTACAGTACTAGAATTTGTCTTTGAAGTACACATGCACTTGAAATTTATTATTTTCATAGGATTTTTTTAGTTTTAGTTTGCATCTCTACTTTTATAAGTGAGTACCATATATATAGATATACACTATGGATTTACTAAGTTTTAAAAAATGTTGAATGGTCAAAATACTATTTTTAAATGGTTTGCATGTTCCCAGTCCCCACCTACTATGGGGTTTGCACCACATATTTCCCCATGTCGGTCGGTCTGTCCCAGTTTCATCTCCTGACAAAAGGCTCTGTTCAGCTGTCATTATAAGCTAGTTTATTAGTTATAGTATAATATTTTTCTCTCCTAACAAATTAGCCATATAAATTAGCATAAATGGCTTATAGACCAGCCGAACAGAGCCTTTGATGGTTGTGCCATGTGTGTGATGGAGTTGGAACGCAAGTCAAAGGATGGATGGGTCGCGTGGCAAATTGATAACGTGTCGCGTTGTGATAAGGCGAGTGGCTCGCTGCATTTGTGTCTTTTGGTGATGTCAAAAGGACTATGAATGGAATGTCTGGGTGCTAGGCCCTCCTAAAATTCCTATCACATCGAATGTTTAGACACATGCATGGAGTATTAAATATAGACTAATTACGAAATTAATTACACAACTTGCGACTAATTTACGAGACGAATCTTTTAAGCCTAATTAGTCCATGATTTGACATGTGGTGCTACAGTAAACATGTGCTAATGACAGATTAATTAGGCTTAAAAACGTCTCACAAATTAGCCTTCATCTATATAATTGGTTTTGTAATTAATATATATTTAATGCTCTTTATTAGTATCTAAATATTCGATGTGACATGAATTTTAGGAGCGACTAAAGAACCAAACATCCCCTATGAATGGAATGACCATTTTTATTAACTAGGAATGTGCCCTTGCTTTGCTAAAGAGGAAAGGCATATGTATTGATTCGATTTAAATCCTTCAAGATTTTTAGGTATACAAGTAGATATAGATTAATATTACATATAGATAGATATAATATCATGTTCGCTTATGCTGAGATGTTGTGAGAGGAAAACACTGTTTCATGACTGAAAAGTAGCTCATATATAGATTAATATCACTTAGAGATAGAGATAAAGATAGAGATAGATGAGCAGAGGTAGAGGTACAGATAGAGACGGAGCAAGAGCTAGACAGTGAGATAGAGATAGATCAATTATCAGCCTGTTTCGCTAGACGATCGTGGAGAGCGAGTTTATCTCTCACACCAAATCATAGATAAATAATTCACGATCGATCTCATCTCATTTGTTTTAGAATGAATTTTTTATTGACCTCTGCATGAGTCATGTACTTAACCATTTAGCATGCTCGTTTCGGCTTATACGATCGTAGATTATAAGCTGGAACAATATTTTTTTCTCACACCAAACCAGCCAGCAGTACTTCTGGCTTATAATCCACGATCGTTTCAGTCGAAACGAACAGGCTGATTGTCTATTACAAGTCCAACATCCGACTGATAATAGCAAGCTCTCAAAGAGAAAACAAAGAAACCAGAAAAAAACATGCATGCACCAACAGCCTATTCGCTCGATCGTATTTGGCTTATAATCCATGGCTTATCAGCTAATGAACAGTATTTTTCTCTCACACCAAATCTGCCAACAGTACTTTCAGCCATGGCTTATAAGTCAAACCAGCCCAAACGAACAGGGCGTAAATTAAGTGCTAAGTGTATTATAGAAGACAACCAATCATGGTTGGCATTTGGCGAAGATTTCCATTGATGCGGTCTCTAACGTGCAATATGCCCTGTTAGAGTTGGTCTGTCGTCCCTAAAACTAACGTGTAGGTAAGAATAACTCCTCTTTATGTAAAAAAAAAAAACTCATCATTTCAGCTCAACCAAATACTAGACTAAATTGATTACACTTCCACACAAATTTGGGATCACAATTTAGAGTGTACTTGTTTTTGCCAATGCCCAAAAGAGTCTATTGTGTTTCTTGGTGGTTGTAAACCAAAAGCAATATGAACCACTCTCCAAACAAAATACGCCACATGACAATCAAACAACAAGTGTTGAATATTTTCTTAATTTATTGATACAAAAACAACATGTTTCAACATCTTTTCAATTCTGGTTAATACACTCATTATGTTGAGTTAAAATTACCTCCTTTATATAGAACCAAATGGAAACTTAAATTTAAGGGGCAATTTCAACTTCCAAATAGCCTTATGAACAAGCAACACAATTTACATCACAAAATGTTTATACATTGACTGGTTGACTGTACTATAAAAGAACATTTTTTAATTAACATTCTATTTAAACAAATCTCATTGGACATTTAATTGCACAAAAGCAATTTTTATGGCCAACTCATTCTATTTTGCTAGTTTTATCATTGATGAGTGCTATGTGGAATGTAAGATTAAGTGGTCTAGAAATGAAGTCCTGAATACCCGAAACATGTTTTTTTTACTAACGATATTATAGAGAGACAATATTGAGTGAAGCTTCCTAACCACTTATCTTTCTAGAACCTAATATTATTATCATTGTAAATGATGAAATTAGATAGCTCTAAGAAATAGTTTTTGAACTTCATAAAGCTTGGCTAGAAATGCAAGTCTATAGGTTTCCACCGTGCTTCACAATGGTTTTGTTTTTCCCATTGATCTCATAAGATTTTTCGTCATTGTACTTGAAAGAAAAAAGATTCTTCATTTGAATTGTGTTTCCAAAGAGGAGACGGCTTTTATGAATCCTTGGATGCTATGATACTCTTTTTTTCTTGTAACCTGGTGCTCTAGAATTCCCACGAACCTTATCATCATTAAAATTTGAGGTAAATTTTTGAGGGAAAATTTGAGGTAAATAAACCCCCACAAAGTATTTTTTAGAATCCCCACAAAGTAATAATAAAAACAAAAGGGAATGCCCAGCCCGTGACCCAACAAGGCAACAACCACGAGAGTCGATCCACTTTGCTTAGGGCCTATTTGGATTGGAGGAAATCCAAAGGAATTATGGAGGAATCCAATCCTATGGAAATGTTTTGCATTTTGGTGT